TCACAGTTTTCCAGGGGTAGTGGCGGCGCACTCGGCGTCCTCGCTCAAAAGGTCCTTGTCCTCGACGAACCTTGCGACGTCGTCGCCCGTAAACCGTGCTCCGCTATTAAGTTGATCACCTCGCGACACGTCCCCTTCGACGTCGCCCGCTGAGCATCTTTGATGTCATGCGAAGCAGTGTGCCGACCACGCAAAATGGCCTTCACCACCACCGTGCACATCACTAGCAGCCTACGATGCGTAGATGGCCTGCCGCGGTTAAGACTGTCGATATGCCTGGCTTGTTCCTCGGTTCGTGTCCCTAACGACATCGTCACTGCTCCTTGATTGACCTCGTTTCTCTCTTCTCCATCACCGTCCTGCCCCCTCGCGTCACCCGAGGTGGTAGTGTGCTGCCCGTCTCGTCCTGCGATCTCCCACACCCAGGCATTTCCAGGATCCTCGGTCTCTGATGCGCTGACCTCGCGATACAGGGGCATCCTCGTCGTGCTTTGGAATAATTCAACCAAGGCCGGAGGTAACGCGGATAGTACAGTCTCTCTGGGGGGGTTCACTTTCTCATGCCCAGCTCATCGGCGTAGCGATGCTTCTCGCGTGTCCCGGGGTGTTCGTAAAGGCAGGATCGCTCCTCACGTCGGCTCAAACAATTCTACCAGCTGCCCGCACGACGGCCATCCTTGCGTCTGTGTCCTCCTTGTCATTCTCGACTTGCTCCAGGATCGAGTTGAGAGACCCCTCCTTATCCACTGTCGGGTTGGATGGTGGCTGTGCGGGTGCGCTACGGCGAGCTCGCAGCATTAAGTCAACGACATGCTCGTCCCGTGTCATTCTCGACTTGCTCCAGGATCGAGTTGAGAGACCCCTCCTTATCCACTGTCGGGTTGGATGGTGGCTGTGCGGGTGCGCTACGGCGAGCTCGCAGCATTAAGTCAACGACATGCTCGTCCCGACGGGGGCTTGGGAAGAGGCAGAGTTCCCGCTCGCGCGCGTCTCCCTTTGCTCCTCCGACTCTGACCAATCGTGAATTGCTCCCGGGCGCCGCGGCTATGCTGGTAAACAAGTCCAGGATGACTTCTCTTGGGTATCTCCCTTGTAACTTTTCCATGCCAACCTTCGCGCGTTCAGCAGCTAGCCTATCGGCGACGTCCTGCCAGTAAACGATCTCACCTCGACCGAGGACTTCATCCACCATCGCGCCCACCGTGCCCAACGGCGGGCTAGGCGTCGGCGCCTCGCCCCCCGATCCACAAGCAGTGCTCGCTAGATTCTCTGGCTGTTTGTCGTCCCTCTTCATGCCGTCCAACCGGTTCTGATAGCAACGGCCACACCACCAGACCCCATCACTCACTGGTGCACTCCCCTCCGCGACACGATCGCCTACAGCATCCATGGGATACCACCTTACTCTCCTGTTGTCCGATTTCCGGTACCCACAGTTACCACAAACGCCAACCTCTGCCTTCCTTTCTTCCTCGGCAAAAACTTCTAGAAAGCAGTCTGGGCGTTGGCAGATGCAGTCCTCGCTGGGCCTAAGGTCTTGCACGAGAGCTAGAGGCAGGTTTCCCTCCTTGAGTCCACGCGGCCACGAAGGCTTCTGCCCGCCCTAACCTGTCCCCGCGTAGGTGCGTGAAACCTCTTGTCATTATGCGACCTGTGGGGTGCCGAACATTGTTTATCGTCGGCCGAGTGCGCCACACTCCCGGGGCATTTGCTGCACGCGGTGCCAGGGTTATGTGAAACCCAGCCGCATTCACTACGCCCGCCCGCCTTTTTCGCCTCTTGCCTGTTGGTTGGCCTGCAGATAGCATCGCTGGGGTAGAAAGTCGCCTTCCCGCATTGCGCTTATTTGGCACGGGGTGATTCACCCCGGACTGAGATTTTCGCCGTTCCTCTTCTTCGGCAATGGCGCGATCTTCACGGACCGTTGCCTCCCTCCTCGCCCCACTCTGCTGCTTGTAGTAATCCTCCTCCGCGAGCTTGCTCTCAAGATTGGGTAGGCCACCCGTATCCCTAGCAGAGCGCCTCCTCCTGCGTTTCCGGCCCGACCGGGTCTTCCTCCCGTCCGACGGACACGTGCCCCGGAATCTCTCGCATCGCGCTTTGTCGCGGCGGTGGGGGTGCGCACCTCGGTGGTTAAGTTGCCCTCTCTCCTGCTCCCGCTCCGTGGATGTTCACTTGTGATGTCTCCTCCTGCGTTGTCGACTACTGGAGTCTGCTAGGTTAGCGTGCCTTGCGTTAGCTGGCGAAGGGTTAGTGTTAGAAACCCCCGCTCCCGGGTGTAACGGGGCTCCCAGTCTGGTTCCGAGGCGATGCCGGTGGCGTAGCCGGTTGAGCTTTGCGGCCGTTCACTCCACAAGCCCGTTGGACCCGCCTACCTCTCCTTCAGTTCATCTGGCAGCAGCTCGACCTGTGCCGGCCATTATTCCATGCATTAAAACCCTGCCAGGGGTAAACAACAAAATTCCAAAATGTTCCGTTACATGTACAGCTTACGCACGCGCGCACCTGTTCGTGGTCTGGGCTCGTCGTTGTCTCTTGACTTCTGTTGCATAAGATTTAATACTCTGTACGGGCATGCTTTTGCACCTGATCGCGTGACGGACTGAAACCTGTTTAACTACACATGTAGTATATAACCTGACTCTGTATTCTGCGGTGTTTAACTTTGTCGGACGGTGCACGTAGCTGAGCGACCCGGGTCATGTTTGGCTCGTAGATGACAAAGCACCGTGGTTAATTTGAAATTGAAGACAGTCGTATACTACTTGCCCTCTTGAAGCCCAAACTCTGTAAAACGTGTCGTGAATTCTTTTACCCTGAGCAGGCGTGGTTGTATCGGGCGTTTCCATAGTATAGGGGTCGGGATGGTACATCCAATGTGCAACATGCACAAGGTTGCATTCGGACCCAAGGCGTGGGCTATCCTGAAATTTGAATTTTGAACACACCATGCTTATCCCCTGCCACACATAATCGCTTCACACCTTTTGCATTAGGTGGCAACACGACCTGGGTATATGTCGCCAGCATTCTTAGCCTGCAAGGCAACAACCTCGCACTGAGGTCGGTTCGTGTGTGAAGCTCCCTCCTTGATCTTGGAGCTGCTGCAGTGTCGTACGCTCTAGGTCAAGTCCAACTTTCTCAAGGCATCGTGCGTAACTGAAGGTATGAAGCATAGCCTACTGTACCGTGACATCGTGTTTACATATCTCTCTTGAAAACTGGACAGTTGAGCCTCTCGTTCGCCCTCTAGAGCCGGTGCTAGGTGTGGAGGTCTGTTGCCGAGCGAGCGGCCTGATCAGAGGGGTTTCAACAGGGGTTGCTTTCCCGTTGGAAGCGTTTTTGTTCACACTTAACTCTCTTCTTTTTTCAGCCGTGCAGCACTGTTGCGCGACGCGGAAGTAGCTGCTGTGATGGGGGGGGAAACTTTAGCTGATGCCTTGTAGTTTGGTCGGATCAAGTGTGTTTCGGGATCACTCTCTGTGGGTGACGATATCGGTGATTCGGTGAGCGATTCTTTTCTCTGGGTCCCGGCTCACCGGCACACTGAAGGCAAGTAGTATGGGGGCTTGCTCATCGCGGGGGGTCGACCCCTTATGTTGGCGCTTCAACGCGGCGAAAAACAAACAAACAGAACGCTGTGTTCTTCACAGGCCATTTCGTGCGGGGCCTCGTTTAATTGCTCTGCTCAGATTGGCGTCGTAACAACCAGCTACCTCTTTAGTCACACACCCAATCTGCATAACCTCCAAGTCCCGTTAGAGATCACTCCCTGACGGCTGAGTAAACCGCTTCCGCCGTGTCGCGGCTCGACCGGTACACTGAAGCGAACTAGTTTCGGGGGCTAATCGTGGGGGGTCCACCCCTTCTGCGTGCGCCCCAACGGCTCAAAATAAAATTAAAAACTGAACCAAATAACATTGTGAATAGGTTGCGTGTTTGCCGACTGCAAAACGGGGCAAAACGCTGGTGATTACCCAGATTCACACCCCGCCTGCGATGAGCGGGGGCCTCAGAGAGAGGGGCCCGCTGTGTGGCCACGGTTCAGAGTTTGTGCAAGCTTCCCTTACGTTATGTCCGAGCATTGACGAGCGCCTGACCTCGTTTGTCGAAACCGTGTGACGTTTTTAACTCTTGGGTGGGCTCTACCTTCAAGTGGAGAAAGCTGCATCGTCGCTTGGGTGTTGCAGCCTTCAGCTACAGCACCAGCTCGCGCCCATCTCGCGGTTGAAGGTGATATGTATACATGGAGTGTGCGGCTGTCCGCCATCACTTCCTCTTTCTTCGCGTTACCTTTCACCAGAACAACCAACGACATGACCGAAGCGGCAAATGTTTGTAACGACATTTTTTCGATACAAAAAACATACGTATATTGCGGGGTATTGCGCTTGATTTTTCTGCGCCTCCACCCCTCCGAACGCGCCACCCGCGCCTTGGTCGGGTGAGAGATCTGGCGCCCGCTGGGCCGTGTGTCTCGCTCTCCCCTCTCCGCAAGAAGCGGGGGCCTGGTTGAGAAATCGTGTCTTTTCCGTTGAATCCGTTGGATTGAACGCGCAATTCCGACTGGTCACTTCCGGCCTCCTTGTGCCACACGGGCGCCGATGCCTCGGAAAAAGCAAATATTTTGCTCCCGCTTGCTTTGTGTCTGGTAGAATATCACATTCGAGTAGCAAACATGAGTGCCTTGGTAGCCAACCTCGAGCTAAAGTAAAAAACCCTCAACGAGGCGTCGACGAATATCAGACGCTGTTTCAAAACTGTCGGGATGTAGGAATGGTAGACGTCCGTGTGCAGCTGGGCGAGGGTCATGGTACTAGGGAGTACGTGTGTGTGTGTTCTGACAGCGCCAGTGGTTTCCATGGAAGAAACCCATACTTTTGAGGGCAAAACCCGCCTCGTGTTCAGGGGGTTACTGGCGGCGTGGACCCGAATTTCACTTGACATTACCACAAGATGTGATGACGTGCTGCTATATCAACAGCTCACAGGGGCGTTTCATGCAGTATGCGAAGAAGATTGAGGATAGCGTGGCCAGGTTCTCCCGTAGGAAGAGCGATCCGCACCTTGCAGTCGTGTACGACTTGTTTCCTACCATCAACAAGGTGTGGTCTTTCATGAGGGGGACATGTTGTACGTTCTGAACGGAGTGAATCTCCGCAGCGGCGGGGAGCATCCTCGAGTGTCGGGCGGCTTGATTGATGTTAATCTCTTGACTTCACCGTTGCAAGTGGAGAACGTGCTGCTGCTCCATCACCTTTCCTGAGTGCGATATTCAACAAGGCTTTTACCCAGATGTACCGCTACAACTTTTGCCTGGGGGGTGCTCGAAGGCGATGACCAAAAGTGCTCCGGGTGCAAAAGATACTACTGCAGACTGCAAAGACAAGGCGTGGGGGATGTGCAAGCCGGGCTGTGTTTCAAAATAATACGAGGATGTTTCTTGAAAAGACGTTTCGCCGGCCTTGCTGACCGATGAGACTCCGCCGAGAAAGCAGGGATGATGGACTACTCGCACGATGGATGAATTTATCCTACATGGGACTTCCTACATCGTATTGGCCCTTCTTCGTACTACTTTGTATTTCGGTGGTGAAGTTTGCCGCAGAATGTTGACTTTTTTCTATTGTCGACGCTTCCAAAGATACAAAGATTTAGATCTCCACACGCGATGCGCGATTCGAGTACTACCCACTCTCTCTCGCTCAAGATTTGATCTTTTTGCGGGACGCCCTACCAAACACGGTACTTGCAAGCCAATCGAAGGAGCAGCCACAAGTAAGTGACGACATAGTTGCCGGGGTCGTCGATGAAACTGTCGGCAATCACTCCTAGTTCACCCGCTACCCTTCGCTCGGGTTGCCACCGTCAGGTGCGGCATAAACACGCAGGATCAAGTTGCGGTGGCCAAAGCCGAGAAGATGGCTTCCAGCGGTGCTCCAGAAGAGGCCGCCAGGGTTTTCCTGAAGATGGGATCGACCGCGGCGGACATCGTTATGTTTACGGAGGAGTTAGGTGGTGAGGTTCCCGTGGTTGGCGCCGTGTTGAAGACGCTTAAAGCCATCCGGTTGAGGTTTGAAGCCGTTCAAAGCAATACGGAGAGGCTGAAGGCGTTGGAAGAGCGGTGCACGTACGTCACGGCGTGCGTCATCGTCAAGTGGAGGCAAACCTCGAGCTCGGAGATGAATGTAGCCCCGCTGGAGTCCTGCGTCAACGCCGCGGAAGATTTCATCGCGCGGTGTAGCCGACGAGGGTTGTGTGGACGTTGCACGAAGGCCTCAAGCGACAACGACGAGCTTTTGACCTTGAACTCGCGTGTCGACAGTCTGACTGGAGATTTGGGTCTCGCGGGCATTGCCAGCCTGGACGCAAAGGTCGATGACTTAAAGGCGATGTTGGTGAGTTTTGCTAGTGATTCTTGCCCGTTCACCATACTCTTCTCTACACCCCGTCAGCTCCCAGAAAAATTGAATGTGCGTTGTCCTGCAAGTGGCACGAATCTCTTAGTGCTTCTGTACGGTATTAGATGGCGTTGTTTTTTCGCCCAAGGTCTGCGCGAGAATCGTATTTGAAGATTACCTTTCGCCCAAGCCGAGCATCTGCTTGAACCCGTGGCTTGCGCCAGTGCGCACCAACTGTTACACCGGTATTTAAGTACGATGAACGACTGTTAAGATCAAGAACGTGACGTTCATCCACAACACAAAGTTCACGTTCTCAACAATTTCCGTGGTGCTCATGTGCAACGAGGCAGGCGGAAGTGATTGCACAGAACACAATGCCAGCCTCTGTCCCGGTGGCCGCAGTGCCAAACGGAAAGCCGGTCGAACATTCCTGGCACGTCGCACGCGATAGGGTCGTGGATGCCGTGTACGAGCACCTCTCTTGTGGGCAAACGCCACAAGTGGTGGGATTAGTCGGTCGGAGCGGCTCAGGGAAGACCACGTGCGCCGCGTCTATCGTCGGAGAGTCGACAGGCAGACGCCATCAGAACGAAACCGGGGACCAAATGCTTCGGCGTTTAAACCGGGTTCGGGAGCACTTTCGCGACGGGGTGGTTTGGCTACGGGTTGGCAGGGGTGGCGGGTCAGCGGAGCGCGTCCCCGCCCTGATGTCACAGCTGGCGAAGACGGTTTTCGAAGACCTTAAACATAGTTACGGGTTTGCCCCTGGAGCGTCACCCACTGGAGGTGGCTCGGCCTTCATCAGCGACTTTGTTCGGGGGAAAGGATCGGCCGCGGGACGAAAACGCTGTCTAGTTGTCGCTGATGATGTCTGGGAAGTCGACATTCTAGAGGAGCTTCGACACACGGGCATGTGGGTTCTTTTCACGAGCCGCGACCCTGACTTGGTGGAGAGAGTGGAAGGCAGCGTAGTCCCGGTCGACCAACTTTCTAAGGCTGAAGCAGAATGCCTCCTCCGGGGCGCTGCCGAGCTGTCGACTGGATCCAGCCTCCCGTCAGCGGCGGCGCAGGTTATCGAGCGGTGTGACCGGATGGCAAACCGATTGGAATTTGTCGGCCGATGGAGTACTGTCAAGGGCAGCGATGACGAAGAGGACTGGGCGGAGGCTGTCTCGGCCATCGACGCCGAGATGAGTGCGATGGCGGGCGAAGCAAATGCGCAAAAAAGCGACGAGGATCTCTCCGGTGTCAAGCGTGTCGCTATCCTTCGCGCTGGCTTCCTCGATCTTGCTGCCCAGAATGGCTTCAACCCGTTGCTCTACCTTAGCCTTGCGGTCATGCCCGATGGCCGTGCTTTTGGGGCGAAAGAAGCGGCCGTGTTTCTTTTCGACGATTGGGCTGAAGAACGGGCTAGCCAGCGTAGGACCAGGCAGGCGGCCAAGGTCGTGGCCAACCTCGAACAGTGGGCGGTGGTAACGATGCATGGGAACTTGTTTCGAATGCACGATGCTCACTCAGACTTTGCGAGGAACAAGCTGAAGAGGAGCGAGGACGTGCGCGCGTCGGCCTTGAGGCGTTGGCGCGGTTTCACCTCCAGACTAGACACTATCCGTTCCATGGACTACTTTGAGATGGTCGATCTTTGGCACGCGACAGAGATGATAGGAGGGGAGAGTTGGCGCGTGTCACGCCCGTACCATGTTGCTCTGGATTCTCTCCGAGACTCTAGTCCTGAGTGCATCCCCTCCCTGAAGGCCGTGGTCGAGTTCGGGATCAATGAATGTGCGTGGGAAGTCACGCATGACGTTGCGCTCCGGTTGCTCCGCGTGCAGAAGGATGCGGCGGTGGAACACGCAGAGGTACGGCACACCTTAGAATCTCTCATCCATTGTGCAAACGCCTTAAATCTAAACAGCGACGCGGATGCTCATCGTCGTGAGCTCTCGTTGATGGTGGACGCCGCCTGGGAGAACCGATCGAATACAGCTAGCTCTCCCCCAAGGCTTGTTGCGAAGCGATTATTGGAACGTGGCCAGCAATTGGCGATCACACGACGGCCCGACGAGGCTCATGAGGCTATCAGCGAAGCTTTGCGCCTCCAAGAAGAACGCAGCGGGGACTTCGAAAGGCTGGAGATATCGGCAACCCTGGAATTTTTAGCTATTGTTCTGGTGGATCTCAAGCGGTACAACGAAGGAGTGGAGGTTTACCAGCGATGTCTCCGTATCAAAGAGGATCTCTACGGACTCGAGCACTTACGGCTGACGGTAACACTGCATAACTTGGCTGTTTGTGCTCTAAAGCGTGGGGAACCGGGCGACGTCGAAAAAGCCAGCGAGCTCCTTCGTCGTGCTCTCAGCATCAAGGAAGTGAAAACAGGAGAGGATCATGTGGGGATGATTCGCACTTTACATTGGCTCCGCAGGTGTGCGGAAAAAGCGGGAGAACCCGAACAGCAAAGGCACTGGGAGGAGCGAATCAAAAGGCTCGAGGATGCGAATACCGAACCCAAATAATTGGCGACGTTCTAAGGCGGATTGGGGATGAAAAAAAATCCCCGGGTTGTCGATCATCTCCCCACAGCTCGTGATCGAGGGCAGACCTCGGCAGGACACAAACTGCATCAGTTCCAGCCTACGTTGACGTTGCCGGTGTGCTTCCAACCAGCAACGGTGCCTACACGTGGTTCTATGCTGATTATATCAATACCAGTACAGATAGAGGATACCGGGGTTCGTGTGTACAACACCTGTGTGTATTTCATCGGGGATCGCACCGGTTGGAGAGATCGCATCGGTGTGCCGCCGTGAAAATACTCAACGAACTGATTTAATTGCATTTCCGCACCGGGGTCAGAGAGATGGCACCACGGGGGGGGGGGGGGGGACTCATCAATTGTCCTGCATGCCCTAATCGTTAGACCATTGACTTCGCATCCCTACAAAGCCGGGACGGAGCACGCCGGGTTCTCACCGGACCAGGCTCTCACATCACCAAGCGCGAAGCGCCATGAGGTATTCGGCGAGTCGCATGAAGAGTGCGTTGCATCCTGCTAAGGGCGTTCGGCATCTTGTACTTACTTCCTTGCGTACGGATGACAGCTGCGCATGACTTAATTTATTTTCTGGTTTCACTTCCAGAGACAGTTGTAAGCACTGTGTAACTGCCTCGAGGATGCTTGGCCATTGTAACACAACGTGGTGCGACCATCCCCCTTGCGCGGAGTGAGGTTTCTCATCCCCGCACAACATGATCTACTCGACCACCATTATGGTTACCGCCAAAAAAAAAACAGAGGTAAAAAACAAAAACGGTAACCTGGTTGCCGAGTTCACGAAGTGAATTGGCTTGTTTTACAACGTCGTTGCCAAGCGACGAAAACCCAACCCCGACGGCAAACACCGGCGGGGGGGGGGTGGACTATTTTTGTTGAAGGGCATCGTAGCAAATTTTCGTTAGAACCACTCAGTCGACTGTTTGTGCACACCAAGTGTTATTCTCTAGCGTGTGTATGTCGAGACGGCAAGTATGAACATGGCCGCATTTTCCCGATACTGTAGGAGGTGTTCATACGCAGTGGACCCCTGCTGAGCCAGTGCAATTACACTTTGCTGAGGACCATAGTTTCCAGTTTATGCTGAGGCGATCTACGCTCTAGACAGGTTCCAGGTGTTGGCCTCCTCCGCCATGGGTAGTAGTAGTGGCAGGTAGGGGTACGACGACGAGTGTTAGTCGTAGAAAGCGATGAAGAATTTCAAGCTGACTCCGTTTCATAGGTTTTGTGCGTTTTCGGAGGACGGATATCCGCCTGTGTCCGAAGGAAACTCCCACAGGGCGGGGTCATGCTTTGCTGGTGCCCGATGTGGTGGGGGTGAAATATCTTGACACAGCCCCTCACAAGTAGGGGCACCGGTCCTGTAAAGCTCGGATTCGCACCCCCAGCGATGTCTGTAGTGCAGGTTTCACATACAACACAGGCCTTTGCAAACAAGCCGTCAGGTTGGCGCTAGGGAGATATTTTAACACGGCAAAGTATCGTTAGTGCTGAGCTTCTTACAGATATTGGCGCTACACCGTTCTGAGACATGTATGTGCCGAGAGCAGGATGTTTGCGTTGCGCGTGTATCCGTGAACGTCTGCTCGAGTACAATTTTATGTGTCGTCGGGGGAAGGGGCGATAGCAAAACGTGACATATTTTGTGTCTCTCCCAAGTTTTGCTTGGGGAGACTCGCGCCCGTTTCGTTACCAATGCCTTCTTTCTGATTATTTTCGATTCGTTCGAGTCTGTTGTGCAATGATGCCATTTGATTTCCTTTTCCGTTGCAAGCTTGTGACCACACGGTAATTTTTGTGATGGCAAACGATCAGAAGGACGACACCTCGCCTGGTGTCCACCATATTCATTCACCTTCTTGACAGATTGCCGAGAATGTGTACAGCAGGCCTCTGCACCGCCCAGTTCATCTTCCTTGAGTAGCCATTAAATTCCCCGCTCTAGTATAGTCTACGTGGTGGGGTGTAGCCGGAGAACCATCCTAACAGAACCTCTCCAGCAATCACTGAAATGTTGTGTAGTGCGGGAAACCCGCGGTTGCTGAGGTGAAAGAGGAAACTCAACGGAGATAAGGGGAAACACGAACACTGGTGTGAGAATCAAATCCTAAACCAAATTGAACCCACCATCATTCCATTACACACATCGACCCATATCCTGAATCTCGGAGCCCGATGTGGGCAAAGTCAATCAATGTGCGGAGGCCGCCATGCAACTCATACGAGCGACACTACGGCGGGTGACATACTGACAGAGCCTTGGCACTAGGAATGAACCGGACATACTTAGGCATTGCTATGTTGGCCTGTGGAGTTCGATAAGAATCCTTAATAGGCTGTCCTCACACGCCTGTTCTTTTTGTGCAAACATGCTTTAGGCTTCCACATCGACCATGGATTCTGAGACAAACTACTCTGCTGAACATACATTATTTCCTTTCCTACCCGGTGTTCTCGCGTGTTCACAGTAAAGAGAAAGACATCGACCGGTTGTATGCATTTTTATTAACTTGCTTTGGGGGGCAGACACGTTGGATGTACCTACGGCAGTGCATCCGTGTTTCTTGTCGGCAGGAGATGAATGATCCCTGCCATCGATGGTTGATTTCCGGGCGCCTTTTTCGTGCCGAACTGGAACTCGTTTGCGGACCCGAACTCACTTTGATGTTTAGAGGCCACTTCCAGCGAACGGCATACCGGGAGCAAATCGCGCTCTACTATTTAGTAACGATGTTTCACGCACACGCTCTGTAGGGCGGGTGCTCCTCTCCTTTTCTGTGTTTCTTCGTGTCTTTGCATCTTGCCCTCTTGTTCGCATGGCTTGGGAGAGGATGTAGCACACATATATATATAGTAGGGGTACCGTGACGAAAAAAAATGAAGTCGCCGCTCCAGGAACCAGGCATCACAGCAGTCAGTCCCTGGTCCCTGGTCCCTGCGTCCTACGTCCCCCTTGGACCTTGGACGGAAAACGGAATACACCCTTCGATACCCACCTCCTGGATTTCGCAACACCTGTTCGTAAAGCTTGACCGATGGCTACATCTGAAGGTGAAGGGGTTGGGCAGTACCTGTTGCGGTGGGACGTCAGAGTGCCGTGGCAGTCCAGAAAATGGTTGCGACAACGATTCAAACTCTGCAGGCTTATGCTTTGTACCAACACCCCAACATCACCGTGCTTGGCAGTACAGCAGTGTGGCATTGTTCCTGCTCCCTTCGCCGCGCCCACTCCCCTACGAAGATTCCTGCTACAGCAGTGTACTATCGTAATGGTGCAGGTTAGGGCAACGGCACGGTGGTGTCGCACACCTCGGGGTTGTGGCACCACCAGCGTGCGCAAGAAATGCAAGGGGCGGCGTGATTGTATTGCAAATTTCATTTTTTTTTTTTTTGAATCCGCGAACTCGGTGCGGTAACGCCGTATGCTATACCCGTTGGGGGTGTAGGATTGTGCGCAATCGCAAGTCTGGGCCACTCAAATGAGTCGTACGTCGTATATTGTATGGCGGTTAGTACCCGGGTTGCAGGTTCCACTAATAGCGAAAGTTGACAACAAAGAGGGGCTCCGTGAAACTCGATGGTGCCCCACGTGAGCCCCCATGATTTGTTTCCCTGTGACACCACCATCTGGCGTAAACACCTTTGCCACCGCTGGTGTTCCCAAAACAGATGGCTATGTGCTATGAAACCTACAGGATACTTCAAGCATGTTGTCTTCTACACGCGCGACGTAGTTTTTACACTGGTTTCGATCTGAACCTGGTAAATGCCATGCTATCAAAAGTGAAAGAGCTGTCGGTTCAAGCCTGTTTCGTACATGTAGCTCCCAACACCAAACTTCACGCTGCTAGATCACCGTTATATATACAGAACGCGCCACCACTTAAGAACTTAGCAGTTAAGAACTTGAGCCTCAAACAATCCAAAATCTAAGAACTTGGTCATAAGAACATATGCTCAGTCCCGACGTTGTATTAAAAACAAGAACCCGGTCGGTGTACCAATGCGCATAGAGATAAGAACGGAGCCCCAAAACGCGGCGGCTGCAAGATAAGAACTCAGGAGGCTGTGGGTGACCCAAACAGCAGTTAGTTTCTGATTGCGAGGCGGGGGGGGGGGGGGGAGAGAGGACCTCGTGATGAATTCTTGTACGCGCGGAGGGGGAGAGCGTACTCTCTCTCTCATGTTTCGCATGCCTTAGCGGTAGGACAATTGACCAACGTCTTCGAGAGGACGCATCCATGTTCCAACAGGATCACTGATGCCAATCGTTCCTTCCCACTTCGAAGCACTTTGTCAAACGTGGCCAAACCATGTTCTCCCTAGCCGATTTACCCTATATCGGTATCACTTCCCGCCTTTTCAACCCACTTCCTATGCCCCAGTACAGCTACCACTGTTTTCTCCTGGCTATTCCATGCCTCAAACACCTCCCTGTACCTTTTCTTCTACATGTCCAACTCAGTCATGTACATTTCTCTGTCCTTGTCGCCCAACACGGACGTTTCGCAACGACGTGAACCCGGTCTTCGCTCTCGGAGTCGCATTCACATTGAACTCGTCTTCATCGTCTACCTTCCTGAATCTTCGTCAATGTTCTCGAAGGCCGTTTTCCCCACTCCAAAATTTGACCTTGGGCTTTCTCCCTGCATCCATTGGTCCATGTAGTAGGTATATACCTTCTTTCAACATCCGTACACATGGAGACCCTCCTTATCCTTGGATCCTTTTGTTATATGGTGTTCTCTCTCGGCGAAAGAAGCAAATTTCTTGTTCTCGAACCCCTCTAGATCTACCGTTCGTGTCCAATGTACCAACCTAATCGATTTTGAACTCTTCCTACGCCGTCTACAACCTTAATCCACTCCCTCCGGGTTGGTACCTCCATTTTTCTTGTTTGTCCACTTCGCCTCCTAGGCTTCTCTCGGCAATCTCTCCTCTCCCACATCGTACAACATACGG